GGGTCTAACGGGACTTTTGAATCGTTTATGAAAAACATAAAGATAAGGATCCTCATCATAGCCGTCGCCGTCATTCATCGTCATCATCCGGTCATCATCATCGATGGATAACATCATCGTGCATCTTTCTTCATCACCAACAGTCATGATGATTATGATGATACGCTCCCTCCGCATCTCCAATAAAAAATTTTTTTTTTCCGGGTTAACGGGACTACGCACCTCTGCATCTCAAATCTCATCATCACCGTTATCATCATCGATGATAACCGTCAACGTGCATCCTCATCGATGATAACCATCATCGTGCATCCTCTGCATCACCAACAGTCATCATGATAATGATGACTACGCACCCTCTGCATCTCAAATCGGGCCTAACGGGACTTTTGAATCGTATATGAAAAAGATAAAGATAAAGATCCTCATCATAGCCGTCGCTCATCATCGTCATCATCACGGTCATCATCATCGATGATAACCATCATCGTGCATCCTCTGCATCACCAACAGTCATGATGATAATGATGACTACGCGTGCATCCTCTGCATCACCAACAGTCATGATGATAATGATGACTACGCACCCTCTGCATCTCCAATCTCATCACCGTTATCATCGTCGATGATAACCATCATCGTGCATCCTCATCGATGATAACCATCATCGTGCATCCTCTGCATCACCAACAGTCATCATGATAATGATGACTACGCACCCTCTGCATCTCCAATCGGGTCTAACGGGACTTTTGAATCGTATATGAAAAAGATAAAGATAAGGATCCTCATCATCGTCATCATCACGGTCATCATCATCGATGATAACCATCATCGTGCATCCTCTGCATCACCAACAGTCATGATGATAATAATGATGACTACGCGTGCATCCTCTGCATCACCAACAGTCATGATGATAATGATGACTACGCATCCTCTGCGTCTCCAATCTCATCATCACCGTTATCATCATCGATGATAACCATCATCGTGCATCCTCATCGATGATAACCATCATCGTGCATCCTCTGCATCACCAACAGTCATCATGATAATGATGACTACGCACCCTCTGCATCTCCAATCGGGTCTAACGGGACTTTTGAATCGTATATGAAAAAGATAAAGATAAGGATCCTCATCATAGCCGTCGCTCATCATCGTCATCATCACGGTCATCATCATCGATGATAGCCATCATCGTGCATCCTCTTCATCACCAACAGTCATGATGATAATGATGACTACGCACCCTCCGCATCTCCAATCGGGTCTAACGGGACTACGCACCCTCTGCATCTCCAATCTCATCATCACCGTTATCATCATCGATGATAACCGTTCAACGTGCATCCTCATCGATGATAACCATCATCGTGCATCCTCTGCATCACCAACAGTCATCATGATCATAATACTACGCACCCTCTGCATCTCCAATCGGGTCTAACGGGACTTTTGAATCGTATATGAAAAAGATAAAGATCATAGCCGTCGCTCATCATCGTCATCATCACGGTCATCATCATCGATGATAACCATCATCGTGCATCCTCTGCATCACCAACAGTCATGATGATAATGATGACTACGCGTGCATCCTCTGCATCACCAACAGTCATGATGATAATGATGACTACGCACCCTCTGCATCTCCAATCTCATCATCACCGTTATCATCACCGATGATAACCATCATCGTGCATCCTCTGCATCACCAACAGTCATCATGATAATGATGACTACGCACCCTCTGCATCTCCAATCGGGTCTAACGGGACTTTTGAATCGTATATGAAAAACATAAAGAGCCGTCGCTCATCATCGTCATCATCACGGTCATCATCATCGATGATAACCATCATCGTGCATCCTCTGCATCACCAACAGTCATGATGATAATGATGACTACGCATCCTCTGCATCTCCAATCAGGTCACAACGATTATAATGTGATGATGATGACCATGTCATCATCACCATGATGGTGGTCATTATCGTCATCATCATCATCATCGTCATCATCATCGTCGTCATCATCGTCATCATCATCGTCATCACTACGCATCCTCTGCATCTCCAACCGGGTCTAACAGCACGCTTGAAACGTATATGACACAGATCTGATCAGATAGGAGAAAGATAAGGATGACAACGATAATAGTAGCTCGGAGAATAACTATCATCGTAGCATCCTCTGCATCACCAATGCTTTCTAACCCCACACTTGAAAGGTGTAGAAAGACACATCTTTGAGGTGCAAAGGATGCTACGATGACGGTATTGCTTACGCTGATAATGTTGAATCTTCGGATATGCTCATTTACCAACCCACCTTGGACTTGTGCTGTAACCACCCTTCCCGTGCGCCTCCCCCTTTCAGGAGAAGGGGTCGGCGGATAAGGAACCTGTGCACGGAGCCTTATGGGGCTTTAAAGGGAGCCTTGTAAGGAGCTTTGCAACGAGCCTTGCAAGGAGCTTTATAAGGAGCATTATA